AAGCATCAGAGGAATCGTGGACGTATGTGGGCAGGAACCGGACCAGAGGAGGAAAGATCGAGTCAAGGTAGGAAGAGATGAGTCCTGTGGGGCAGAAGCAGGCAGAAACAATGGGTGTGCCTGGGTAGTCCTGTTTCTGGATGTTTGAAAGAAGGCAGAAGCGAGCTGTGCATGGTTGGGGGACTTTCAGCTTGGAGGCAGTAGAGGGAAGATTACCAGATGAAGTGAAGTCAGTGACTATTGATACAATGGCCTGATATTCCACGATAGGGTCATGATCCAGGGGCAGATAGGAGGAGGTGTCTGAGAGCTGGTACTCAGCCTCTGCAATATAGAGGTCAGTACACCAGACTACAACAGCACCACCCTTATCGGCAGGCTTAATAACAAAGTTGTAGTTGGATCTAAGTGCATGATTGGATTGGGTGCAGGATACAGAGAAATTGAGATGACAAATGTCACGTTGACAGTTCTGAATGAACAGATCGAGTCCAGGTAAAAGGCCCAGGGGGGTGTCCAGGTGGAGGGAGAATGTTGGAACAGGGCCAAGGGGTCTGTGGGATGGGGAGAGGCCTCTGGTCCAAAGAAATGGACACGGATGACAGAAGAAGAGTTTTATGTCATGTTGTGCCCTAAATTTATTAAGGTGAGGATGCAGAGGGATAAAACTGAGACCTTTACTGAGTACAGAACGTTAAGCATCGGAGAGCAGAAGGCTAGGAGAGATGATGACTTCCTGACAGGAGATGGGGTTGTGGGAGGGGTGGAGTCAGAGGGAAGGAAAGTTCCAGAGGGCCATGGGTCTCCCTGAGTTGTTGTATCTTGTGTGCCTTGATGTCTGAAAGTAAAAGAAAAGGTTCTTGTTTGTACGGCAAATGAACTGTAAGATGAAGTGGAACAGTGGAGTGGTGCAGCCCTGAGGCAGCATGATGCAATGCTGTTGGAGAGAATGGTCGAGGGTGTGGATCTCAGGATGTGGCGAGAGCAGCTGCCTTTGGAACATTGAACATCATGGAGATACCTGTGATCCTGCATGGATTCAAAGCACGAGTGATGAAACTTGAGTTGAAATCCAGGTACCCCTCCCCAGACTCCAAGGGCCCAAACATACCTTGCAGGTGAAACAGCACTTCACTTGCACTTCACACAATTTAGTCTCCTGCATTTGCTGCTCACAATGTGGTCTCCTGTACATTGGAGAAACAAAGCATAGACTGGGTCACCGCTTCACAGAACATCTATATTCTGCCTGCAAAAAAAGACCCTGAACTTCCAGTTGTCTGCCACTTTAACACACAACCCTGTTCCCCGGCCAACATCTCTGTCTCGGGCTTGCTACAGCGTTCCAGCGAAACTCCGTGCAAACTGGAAGAACAGCTCTTTTTTTTTGCTTGGGCACCCTGCAGCACTCCAGACTCAATATTGAGTTCAATAATTTCAGGAGCTGAACTCCCCCGTGTCCTAATCCCCAACCCCACATACCAGGCCTTGTTAGCATATAGTCTGCCATTACACACTACGTGTTGTTAGCCACTAACAGTCTCCGTTAACAACTATTCACTCTCCTAGCCAGATCGTTATCCACTCTTTTGTCTTCAACTGTTCTTCTCTCTTTTTAGGCTCTATCCCCACTTATTGTTTACTCCTTACCCTCTTCCCCCATCTTTTCGTCTGCATATAAACCGACATTTTCCAAGCTACCATCAGTTCTGAGGAAGGTCACTGGACCTGAAACATTAAGTCTGATTTCTCTTCACAAATGCTGCCAGATCTGCTGACCTTTTCCAGCAACTTCTGTTTTTGTTGTTGACCATGAAGTGGTTGCCAGACCTACCTTCCAGCTCACTCGTGGCCGGGAAAATTGAGGGCGGTGATACATTCTTCATCCGTCCACGTGTATATCCATATGTAGGATTGCAATCCATGAACAGTTCAAAAGTTAAGTTCATGACTTCAACGGTGGAATCCTGCCTGGAATATCTGGATGTTAGATGTGAGGCCTTCAGTGCCAGAGTGCAGCTGGGTGAATATACAATGCACTACGTTTTCAATGTGAGACCTCAGTGGTGAGTTGAGAGTGACTGGCTTTGACATGAAGGCAATAATTGACTGAGTCTGATATCAAGGAACCCTTACAAAACTGGAAGCAGTGGGTATCAGGGGAAATCTTATCTCGGTTTGAATCATACCCGGCACAAAGGAAGATGATTGTGGCCGTTGGAGGTCAGTTGTCTCAGCTACAGAACATTGCTGTTGGAATTCCTCAGGGTAGTGCCTGAGGCCAACAACTTCAGCTGCTTCATTTAGGACTTTCCCTGCACCCCCGCACCCCACCCCACAATCCCAAGGTCAGAAATTGGGATGTCCACTAAAGATTGCACAGTGTTCAACACCATTCATGACCCTTCAAATAGTGATGAAGTCCATGTACAAATGCAACGAGAGTTAGATAATATCCAAATTTGGGTTGACAAGTCGCAAGCAACATTCATGCCACACAAGTTCCTGATAATGACCATCTCCAAAAAAGAACAAATCTAAACATCATCTATTTGCATTAAAGGCATTATCATTACTAAATTCCCCACTATCAACATCCTAACAGTTACTACTGACCAGAAACTGAACTGGATCTGCCACGTAAATAATGTGATAACAAGAGCAGGTCACAGGCTAAGAATCCTGTACCTGACTTCCTGTCTCCCCAGTTCCTATCCACTGTCTAAAAATCACAACTCAGGAGTGAATTGCCTGGATGGGTGCAAACAACACTTAAAGCTTGAAATTATCCAGGACAAAGCAACCCATTTGATGGGCACCACATCCGCAAACATTCACTTCCTCCCACCACTGTCACACAGTAGCAGCAGCATGTAAAATCCAAAAGATGCACTGCAAAAATTCACTAAGGATCCTAAGACAGGATCCTTCAAATTCATGACTATCACCATGAAGTATGAAGTCAGCAGATTCATGGGAACACCAACACCTTGCAAGATTTGCCATGGTGAGATTTGAATCCACATGCCCAGAATATTTTGTTCGGTTCTGGATTGCTAGACATTATCACTTTGCCACGGCTCCCCAACATACAGGTCATTCATGAACATTAAAAAATATGACTTTTCTGGAACAGCACTACAAACCAACCCCTATCTTAAAAGCCTTTACTCTGTTATTGAGCTATTTGTATTGATACAGCCACGATCACCCTAAATCGACGGAGTTCTATCTTTTTAACGAGACTTCTGTATACTAATACAGGCAGAAAGCACTTCAGCAGAGGCTGAATTGCGAATGCTGTTGGAAGTGAGTCTGCCTTTGTTAGCTGACTCACTCCACAGCCATTCAGTAGTCGTCGGGTCATTAATGTGATTGAGGCATGACTTCAGACTCCCATTTGAGAATTGCTGGCTAATAAAATAGCTTACAACTCCCGTTTCCAGCAGTGCCATCAGATGTGATGGGAATGGCAGTCCCATGAAAAAGACTTTCCACAGATCAGGATGAAGTTAAGTCTGGGGTTCCATTAGGGCCAGATTGGCAGACCTTAGTGAGCAGAGTGTGATGGGAGTTCTAAAGAGAAGTTAAGAGTCAAAACCATATCTTGGAGAGGGGTGAGTGAGTTGGTTCTGATGGACACAGCTAGCCTGAATAGAAGGCATCCTCCCTTGCTCAGCCATCACTCTGCCAGGTTTCACCTACATGGGCAAAATCTCAGCAGTGACCAAAAGAGGCCCTAAACTTTCCATAAATGACCCATGGCTGAGTAAACCACTGAATGTATCTTTGTTATCAGTTGAATGGCATTGGGGTAGTTGGTTGGTGAGCATTGTGCCACAGTCTTGGCATCCAATTTTATAGCCTCCTGTCTGTTATGGGGTCTGTGAAATTCCAGGCCAGATGCTGTAAATTGGAAATAAAATCAGAAATACCTGAATTACTCAGAACCTGTGGAAACTAAGTAATGTTTCAGTTTGATGATGACCTTCATTAGAATGCACTTGGTCAAAGGCCTTCAGAAATAATATATCTACAAAATTTACAGTACTACTTTGACCAATATTCTGAATTCACTGATGTGTAAAATCAGGTTAATGAGACCCAATTTATTGTCAGCAAATTCCTGCTGTTTCTTCTTGATCAACTGAATCATTTTCAAATGAAAGCTTTTATGCACCTTATAATGTTTTCTAATATTTCCCCACCACAGACGTCAGCAGGGTTGATCCATACTTTTCTGAGTTATCCCTCTCTTCTTTAGTGAAAGCCACTCCTCTGGCTCTATTCCTATATATAGTGAGGATTGAAAGATTATGATCAATGCTTCTGTTATCTCTATCTTTGTGACTTTCATTAACTTTGGATGCATTCTGTCTGCAGCAGGTGGCTTACCTTTTAACTTCCTTTAATATATCTTTTATACCTATTGATTTTTTTCTCCAGAATCTCTTTCCTTCTTTTAATGTAATCTTGCCATTCCCTTTCACATTCTGACACCGTGAGAGTAGGAGCTGGAATAGACTCTACAACCTTTTGAACCTGTTCTGTCATTTAATAAGATCATGGCTGTTCCTCGACCTCAACTTCACTTCCCACCTTTAATTCTTGATTCCTTTAGAGTCCATGCAAACGGTCTTCAACCCACCTATTTTATTCGTCACTCCAACATTTTTCCAATCCTTTCTTCATCAACCTCTTCTCCTCCCTTCACTTTAATCCTCAGGTTACTCATTTGCTTTTTATCCTCTTTCTCAGCTCCTCTCTTTCTCTCACCCTCTCTCTCCCATACCCTCAGCTTCAGTCAAGAATCATTTCTTTGTTCCTCCACCTGCCTCTTCTGTTCCGCTTTCCATAGAGTTTGACCTGAAGGGCTCACTCTTGACATCAGGAGAGATTAACTAAGTAACTGGAAAAAGTCAGTCTTGGGACTCTGCATTTTACCTTGCAACAATGCTATTTGTATACTGCACTCAATTTTTCTCTAATTATTTTTCTAGTTCCTGCAGACTTTTTTCAATGGGTTGAGTATCCTGGTGGATGCACTGGGACCTGTGATGTGGATTCGGTCATTTAGAGATCTCCTCTTCTCAGTCCTGGCTTTTCCTGTTGGCACTGTAAGTAGATATTGCATTCATTGTTCTGGAAATTGACACGTTTTTACAAGAAAACAGAAACAAAGAAGTGTTTTTTTTATAACATTAATATACTATATTTTGAAATCCAAAGTCTGGAAACATGAGGCAAATTGTTTGGAAAAACAGAGCAGAGCTTACTGCCCATTGTTCAGAATGGCGACAACCTGACCATCTAGTTGTATTAGTCTTTCACACCCCATGTCTTAATCAAGGAAAGAAAAGGAAGCAAATCCTGTCATCCAGATCCCATTATCTAATGAGACAACCAGCCCTATGTGTCCAAAGATGTGGTCAGCCACATGAAGATACAGCGTAGTTGCTTACGGTCCTGATTAGACACCACCATCGAACCACAGGACAGTTGATCACATTGAGGGGCAGTGTGCAACAGCAAGCGTATGTGGTTGCCTGGGCCAGGAGGAGGGGATCTTGTGAATTTCTAAAATAAAATAGGCCAGCACAGTGACTCAGTGGTTAGTGCTGCTGTCTCAAAGCACCAGGGAACTTGGGTTTGATTCCACCCTCGGGCAACTGCATAGAGTGAACACATTCTCCCCGTGTCTGTGGGGATTTCCTAGGGTGCCCCAGTTTTCTCCCACAATTCAAAGATGTGCAAGTTTGGTGGATGGCCATGGGAAATGCAGGGTTACAGAGAAAGGGTCGGGGTGGAATATTTTGGGTGGGATGCTCTTTGCAGGGTCAGTGTGGACTTGATGGGCTGAATGGTCCCCTTCCACACTGAGGGCTCCTATGAATTTCCCAGACTCTGGTGAGTTAGGAGGTATCCTACTTCCTCTAACCTGCTTTTATTGCCAGTATTCATATGGCTGGTCTAATTCAGTTTCTGGTCAATGGTAACCTCCAGAATGTTGATAATGGGAAATTCAGCAGTTGTCATTTCATTGAACATCATGGGGTAATGGTTGGATTCTCTTTTACTAGTGCTGATCATTGTCTGGCACATATATAACACAAATGTTACTTGACATGTATTAACCCAAGCCTGAGTATTGTTCAGATCTTGTTGCACATAGATACAGACCTCTCCCTTATCTGTGGCATTGACTGGTGTTGAGCATTGTGTAATCATCAACGAGCACCTCAAATTCTGACCTTATGATGAAGGGATGGTCATTGATGGCTGGGCTTATGACATTACACCAAGAAATTGCTGCAGTGTTGCTCTGGGCCTAGGAGGATTATCCTCCAATCTTTCTCTGCTCAAACCAACAGAGAGTTTGTCCCTAAATTCTATTGACTTCAGTTTCTCTGAGGTTCTTTGATTACACACTTTGTCAAATGCTGCCCCAATCTCAAGAGCAGTTACTCGTGCCTCTCTGAAGTTTAGCTCTTCAGCTCTTAACCCTAACCCATCCATCTGAGGAAGGATGCTCTTGCTCTCAAGGGAGAGCAGCGAAGGTTTACCAGGTTGATTCCGGGGGTGGTGGGTCTGACGTATGAGAGAGATTGACTAGGTTCAGACGAATGAAGGGGGATCTCTTAGACACTTATAAAATTCTAACAGGGCTGGACAGAGTAGATGCAGGGATGATGTTCCTGATGGTGGGTGTGTACAGGACCGGGGTCACAGTATGAGGATTCAGGGTAGACGATTTAGGACAGCGATGAGGAGATATTTCTTCACTCAGAGTGGTGAGCCTGTGGAATTCATTACCACAAGAAGTAGTTGATGCTAAAACATTGAATGTATTCAAGAGGGTACTAGATATGGCACTTGGGACAAATGGGATCAAAGGTTATGGGGAGAAAGCAGGATTAAGCTACTGAGTTGGACAATCAGCCGTGATCGTTAAGAATGGCAGAGCAGTCTCAAAGGGCCAAATGGCCTCCTCCTGCTCCTAACTTGTATTTTTCTATGTTTCTTGCTGGAATGTTGTCAGATCCCAGTGTCTTTAGAGAATCCAGTGCCTTTAGCCATGTTTTGATGTCCCATAGCATGAATTAAATTGTTTAAGACTAGTATCCCTGCTGCTGGGAACTTCAGGAAGAGGCCGAGATGGATCATTCACGTGACACTTCTGTCTGATGATTGAAGCAAATTCTTCAAAGTTTCTATTAGTTCTGAAGAAAAGTCACTAGACTTGATATATTAACTCTCTTTTCTCTGCACACATACAGCCGGACATGTTGAGTTTCTCCAACCATTTCTATTTTTGTGTGTTTCAAAAAGCTTTGGAAACACATGTAGGACAGTAAGTATCTTCCACTAGGGGTATTGTATTCTGGACTGAATGAGTAATCGTATAGAGCCATAGAAAATCATTCAGTCCATCTTGTCCATGCCAACCCAAAGACAAAGGGATGTCCTTTCTAAGGCCATCTTCCTGTACTTGACTCATAGCCCTGTAGCTTACAACACTGAAGGTGTAGATCCAGGTACGTTTTAAGAGTTTCAGGTCTCTGCCTCCACCACCAACTCGGCCAGCAAATTTCAGACATCCACCATCCTCTGCATAAAAAAAGTTTATCCTCACAATCTCTCCAATCCTTCTGCCACTTAACTGAATTTATGATACCTAGTTATTGAACTTTCTGCCAAGGGAAACAGGTTTCTTCTGCCTACGCTCTGTCCCTACCCCTCACAATTTTGTATACCTCAATCATGTCACACCTCACCCTTCTTTGTCCCAAGGTAAATAACCCCAACCTCTCCAATCTCACCTCATAGCTACAATTATCCAGCCCTGACAACATTCTAGTAAATCTTCTCTGCACTCTCTCCAGAGCAATATCGTCTTTCTTGTAATGTGGTGACCAGAACTGCACATGATATTCCAGTTGTGGCCTCACCAGTGTCTTATACAAATTCAGCTCATGCTATGGTGAGATTTGAACCCACAATCACACAACATTATCTTGGAGCTGTGGATTACTAATCCAGTGACATGATCACTGTGTCATCATCTTCCCAGTTAATGTTTGAAAGAGTGCATTGTTGTTCAGTGTTCTTTCATCTCCACCTTATTATTTTATGTACATGTGAATTCCCTAACCATTAATGAATTTCTGAAGAAGGGTCTCGACCTGAAACATCAGCTTTCCTGCTCCTCTGATGCTGCTTGGCCTGCTGTGTTCATCCAGCTCTACACCGTGTTATCTAAAATTCTCCAGCATCAGCAGTTCCTAACATCTCTGTAGATTAAGGTGTGAAAGGAGAGAACTATTTTTGATACTAAGTGCAAAGTACACAAGATACGAACAGGACATGGCTGTGGGGAAAGCTTGAAGGGGGAGGGGCATGGAAAAACTGAAAGAAAATGGAGAATTGACATAAAGCAGTCAGTTTCAGCAGTTATTGTAAACAATGTGTGTAGTAGACAAGATTAAAAGAAGTACGAGCGAAACTCAGCTTCACTTGGAAGGTGCACTTGGGGCCTGGACAGTGAAGAGGAAGGAGATGAATGGGCAAGTTTTACACCTTCTGTGATTGCATGGGAAGGTGCGATATGGGAATGAGGAAGCATTAGGAATGATGGAGGGGTGGATCAGGGTATCATAGAGGGAACGGTCCCTGTGGAATGCTGACAGTAAACAGGTGGGAAAGATGCATTTGGTGGTGGCACCCTGCTGGAGGTGGCGAGGATAATCCTCTGAATGCGGAGACTCGTGGATTGGAAAGTAAGGACAAATTAAGCCCTGTAGTTGTTCTGGAAAGAGGGTGAAGGGGTAAGAAAAGAAGTGCAGAAGATGGGTCAGACAAGACTGAAGGCCTGCCAACTGCAATTGGGGGAATCCTTTGTTGAAGGAAAAGGCAGTTATGTCAGAGGCAACCCAGTGAAAGGTGGTATTATCATAATAGATGTGACGGAAATGGGAACATTGAAAGGCATCCTTGCAGGAAGCAAGGTATGAAGATGTGTCATTGAAGTAAGTATGGGAGTCAATGGGCTTGTAATAGATATTCATGGACAGTCCATGCTCAGAAATAGAAATGCTGAAATCAGGAAAGAGAAGGGAAGAGTCAGAGACCGGCCAAGCGAAAGTGAGAGAAGGATGGTAATTAGAAACAAAACTGATGAATTTTTCCAACTTCAGACAAGAGCAGGAAGAAACAATGAAGACCTCGTTGATATAACAGAGAGAGAATTGTGGATGGGGTCAAGAGTAGGATCAGAACAAGAATTGTTCCACATAGCCCACATAGAGACAGCATAGTTGGGATCCATGTAGGGACGTGTGGTTACAACTTTGTCTTGGAAAAAAAATGAGATGGGTTAAAGGAGAACGGAGAAAATAGAACATAGAACAATACAGCAGAGTACAGGCCCTTCGGACCACGATGTTTGCCAACCTATTAACCCAGTAAGATCAATCTACCCTGCATACCCTATATTTTACTATTTTCCATGTGCCTATCCAAGAGTCGCTTAAGTCTCTAAAGTATCTGACTCCACTACCACTGCTGGCAGCGCATTCCACACACCCACCATTCTCTGTGTGAAGAATCTACCTCTGACATCTCCCCTATACCTTCCTCCAATCACCTTAAAATTATACCCCCTCATAATAGTCATTTCCACCCTGGGAAAAAGTCTCTGACTATCCACTCTATCTATGCCTCTTATCATCTTGTTTACCTCTATCAAGTCACCTCTCATCCTTCTTCACTCCAATGAGAAAAGCCCTAGCTCCCTCATCCTTTCCTCATAAAACCTGTCCTCCAGTCCAGGCAGCATCCTGGTAAATCTCCTCTGCACCCTCTCTAAGGCTTTCACATCTTTCCTGTAATGAGGTGACCAGAACTGAACACAATATTCCAAGTGTGGTCGAACCAGAGTTTTATAGAGCTGCGGCATAATCTCACGGCTCTTAAACTCAATTCCCCTGCCAATGAAAGCCAACACACCATATGCCTTCTTTACAACCCTATCAACTTGGGTAGCAACTATGAACATGGACTCCAAGATCCCTCTGTTTGTCCACACTGCTGAGAATCCTGCCATTAACCCTATACCCTG